TGATATTCCCAGTAATTTATTTTCCACCAACCAAACAATGTAATTAATCTTTTCGTAATTTCCTTTTCATGGAATTTCAATTCCGTTTCTCCTCAAATATTTCCCGCGCGCGAACCAAACGGGGCCTAATAGTTGGAAAAGGAAAAGAAGAAAACACTGGGTTTACTTTGTTCAAACACAAAACTCCCTTAGGGCCTTAGACCATTTCTTTTTGGATTTGAATTTCTGCTTCCCTTTATTCTAAATAACACACTTTTTTATAGGGTTGATTATAATTATAAAAGTTCCTAAACTAAGAATGATTGATTATTTGGTAGTTTTTAAATAATTAATGTACCTAAACTAATTCGATCGAAGACTAAGAATAATAAGTTAAATCGCAAATTATGCCGTGCAACCGTGTGCACCATGCATGGTGCACACGGTTGCAAAAAATAACGTCGTTTTGATTAAAAACCACGCGTCCAACTAAAAAAAAAATCAGTTTTGATTGCCGTTAACGGCGTTATGTTGTGCATAATTTGAACTATATATCCAGAATGAATGAACTATATAGTTCAAATTATGCACAACATAACGACGTTAACGGTAATCGAAACTGAATTTTTTTTAAGTCGGACGTCAAAACGACGTCGTTTTTGCAACAGTGTGCACCATGCATGGTGCACACGGTTGCATAGCATAATGCTTCAAGTTAAATAACTATTTAGTACGGAATAGTTTCTAAATAACTATTTAAAAGTTTCTTAATATCTAAACTATAAACTATGTAATATAATGGTAATAACATAAGACTTCCTAATTAAATAATAATGGCACATGTATCATTACACCCCTTCGGAACACCAGGCTTGAAAACCTCGAGCATCGTGAAACCCACACTTCCCACGATGAAATGGCCTCAAAAAAGAATTGCAAAGTAGTAAATCACAATTGGCATTCTATGAATCATTTGATCGATGACCCAACAGTTATGAGGAGGCTCCCAATCTTGGATATCCTTTGAGTGAGTTAGTTGGAACCACCATGTCATGATGAGTGAGATAACAAAGATGAAGATTGACCAATATCATATGACACAACCATGAAATGAGATGGGGTTGTACAAAATTGAAGAAAAAAATCAAGTTTGCAAAGTGAAGTTGTTAATAATGATAAAAATACTAGTATGTCAGTGCATTTTTTTAAAAATATCATCTGATCCATCTGATTTTTACATATATAAAGTTGAGATTAGTTCGTTTTATCCTGTGTCTTCATGGGATCATGCCCCCCTCCCCCCCTCCCCTCCCCTCTCTCTCTCTCTCTCTCTCTCTATATATATATATATATATATATATATATATATATATATATATATATATATATATATATAGTGAAAGGTTCCCGTGCGGTTGAATGCTTCCCGTGCGGATGTGCGGTGGATTAATGTGCGTGAGATTTGTACTCAATGTGCGTTGAGTGTTGTGCTTAATGTGCCTGAGATTTGTACTTAATGTGCGTGAATGTGTAAAATGCAGCAGAAAATATTGATGTCAGCTTCTTCCCCATCCCCAGTAGCCATTTGCCCCCTCCCTGATGATGATGATGCGGAGGCGAGCTATGGTGGTTAAGAATTATGGGAATAATACAACAGAAATCCACACTTAGCTGCTGTGCAAATTTTACTGTGCGTGCGTCATTTATATAAACATTCAACTGCATTGAAGGTAGCTGATAATCCAGAATTCATGGCCAAATTGAAGGAAGAAGTAACAAGAAGCTTGGGCGTTAATGTGCTTGAGTTTCTGTTCTGCTTCCTTCTGAGCTCGTAATTCTGAAATACTCACGCACATTAAGCACAAATCTCACGCACATTAAACACAATACTCAGGCACATTAAGTACAAAACTCACGCATATTAACATGACGCACATTAAGTACAAATCTCAGGCACATTGAGTACAAATCTCACGCACATTAAGTATAAACCTCACGCACATTAAGTATAAACCACACGCACATTAATCCACCACACATCCGCACGGGAAGCCACAAATGCACCTGATCCCTTCCCCCCACACACACACACACACACACACACACACACACACACACACACACACACACACACACACACACACACACACATATATATATATATATATATATATATATATATATATATATATATATAAGGGATTAGGTGCAAAAGCTCTCCAGGTGAAACATGCGGATTAATCATAGCCATTGATCTTCCCAAAATCAACAATGCAGAATGAAGATAAATTTAAAAAAATGCGGTGCCATTATGGTAATTTTGCATATTATTGAAAGCTTATAATGGTGCGTAATTGTAAAGTTTAAGGTGCATATTTTCAAAATTTAAGGTGCGTCACTTTAACACTTAAGGTTCATCAGTTCTACACTTAAGGTGCGTTATTTTAACACTTAATGTGTGTCATTTTAACATTTAAGGTGCATCAATTCTAAACATAAAGGTGCGTTATTTTAACACTTAAGGTGTGTCATTTTAACACTTGTACGTTATTTTAACACTTAGGGGGCGTTTGGTTCAGGTTATATTATATAACCAAGGGAATGTGACATTCCCGAGCTTACATTCCTATGTTTGGTTCATTTTCTCTGAGGGAATATAACATTCCCAGGGAATGCAACATTCCCTCCACATAGGATTTTGAAGGGAATGTGATTCCCTTCATTTTGTTAGGTAATGTAAGATAACCTTGCATATTTATGAATTTTGTCATTTTAATTCTAATTATTTAAAGATATATATTTTATGTTAGCTTATTATTATAATATTATTATTATTATTAAATAAATAAAAGATAACCCTAAACCAAACATGATTATATTACATACCTCAATTTTAAGTTTTTAACCAAACACAGGAAACTAACATTCCTAGTAATCTAACATTCCCAGCAATATAACATTCCCTAAGGTAATCTAACATTCCCTAAGGTAATCTAACATTCCGTGAACCAAACGGCCCCTTAAGGTATGTCATTTTAACATTTAAGGTGCATCAATTCTACACATAAAAGTGTGTTATTTTAACACTTAAGGTGTGCCATTTTAACACTTGTACGTTATTTTAACACTTAAGGTATGTCATTTTAATGCTTAAGGTGCATCATTTTTATATAATTTTCAAAATGTTGTTTTTGGAAGGTTGATTTCCGAAACGTTGTTTCCAAAAGGTTAAAATCAACCTTCCGGATAGTGCCTTAGCTTATGCTTACCTTTCGAATGAACGGTTTTGCGTAACGTTTCGGAAGGACGTCTCTTTGAATGGTTAATAAAAAAAACGCGGTGACATTATGGTAACACTTAACGTGCATTATTTTAACACTTGAGATGCATCATTTTAATACTTAAAGTGCGGCATTTTAACATTTAAGGTGCAGCATTTTAACACTTAAGGTGCGTCATTTTAACACTTAAGGTGCGCCAATTCAACACTTAAGGTGCGTTAGTTCAATAATGGTAGGAGGAGAATGCATCCAGTTCCCAGGAAACACTTTTTTTTTTTTTTTTTTTTTAATTTTTCTTGATTTGAGCCGTTGATCTATAAAATATTTTCGTTAAAAATACTCCTACCGTTATAATGTTATCTTTTCCAATTATTGTTGTCATGCATATGAATCCACCATATATTTTCTTATCTTCTTCAATAAACAATAATATATAGACATTATATATTGGAGTACTATATAAGTTATTTCCTAAAATATAAATATCACATTTATACAAATGATTATTATTATTATTATTATTATTATTATTATTATTATTATTATTATTATCATTGCGCATTGTGCATAGAAAATACTAGTATATATCTAGGGTTCAATATTATATATCTATGGGCTCATGCATTTTTTATGAGTTCTACTACATGAACTCTCAAATTCTACTCCATCATTTCTACTCCCTGAGATGGCAAACCAGGATTAATTATTTTCATGAGTTCTATTACATAGACTCCCAAAATTCTACTCCTTCATTTATACTCCCTGAGGTGACAAATCAAGATTGGTTATTTTCATCATGTGGGTCCACAGAAAAATGTCTACATCAAAAACATGTGAGAGGGAGTACAAGTTGGGAGTTTAAAATGGGAGTATACCAAATATTTTCCTATTTTCATCATGTAGGTCCGTAAAAAAGTGTCTACATCAAGAACATGTAAGAGGAAGTACAAGTTAAGAGTATAAAATGAGAGTACATTAAGTATTTTTTTATTTTTTATATGTATATAAATGGCCTCGACCTTAAAAATATTAATTTTGCTTATTTAACTAAACGAGCCTTACCAGGACTATGTGGTCTAATGGTATCCGGGTTGGACTTCCATTTGGAAGGTTGTGAGTTCAAGCCTCAGTGGAGGCGTTATTGGCTCTTTGTGTATTGAACAGATACTACAATGTAATAGAGCTAGTAGCATTCAAAAAAAAAAAAAAAAAACTAAACGAGCCTTAATATAGACTCAAGCATTACTTTTTTATTAAAAGATTAGGTCGAATCGAGTCAAAACTAAGTTGAATCGTAGGTCCCAATTTGAAACCCGACCCATTTCGGGCTCTAATCAGGATGGTCGCCATCTTGGAAAATGGAAACGACATCGGATGGGTGATTCTCAGCAACTCGACCGGCTTGCGCCTGAGGAGTGAGTATGATAATGAAGGGAATTGATGATGAAAGGAACAAAATTTATGATGAAAGGAGAATGAAAATGAAATATGATTCAAGACAGATACTTACAAAATATGGCAATATAATATAATATGATGACAATTGTAAAATTTAATTAGCAAGTCTTTGACATAATGAATAATGTTGATGTATCTATCCAATGTTTTACCTTTAATTATTTTTCACTTTGAAAACTATTTCACTCTCAAAAAATTTTTTAAAAAATATTAACTCATGTTCTTATTTGTAATTTTTTTTTAATCTTAATAATTATTGTATTGTTGAAATGTTGAGTTCACATTTATCTCTCTTTCAAATTTGAGGTTTGAAGTGGTAAAGAATTCTTTTATTTTATTTATAAAAAAAAAAAAAAATGAAAGTCCACTGATTTTTAGCAATAGAAAACAGAGGAGTACTATATGCATTGCTCCTAGTACTACTACTATAGAGTACTAAAACAGACTGTGATCTGCTTTGGATGTATAAATGCAAATGCCTGCCACTACCGCACTCAGCATAGAAACTTGTACTGAGAGATGGGCAAGTGTCATATCGGAAACGACGTCGGATCGGTGGTCCTTGACCGCCCCGCCTCCGCCGCCGCCTCCCACGGCGGTTACAGTCATCTCAAGCTCTGGTCAACCTCATTCCGCCGCCTGATCCTCGACGCCGTACGTTGCGGCGGCGGCGGCGGCGGCGGAGGAGCTGCGCGGCACAAGCATGGCGATGCTGCTTCCAAATCCACTATGGAGCGGAAGCCTAGCCGCCGCCATCAGAGTCAAAGATCTGAATGCGGATCAAAATTTTCCGGATCCGACAAGCTCTCGGACCTTCTCCGGCTGTCGGAGAACTCGGAGCAGGAGGAGGAAACGGAGGAGGTGCGGCGGAAGGTGGAGGCGCTGGAGCGGTTGAAGGGCGTGACGAAGCGGCTGCAGAGCAGCGAGGCCGACGGCGTATTGGAGGGAGCCAAGGAGGTCCGAATGCTGACCAAGGACGATTCTCAGGCCCGAGCAACGCTCGCTCTGCTCGGAGCCATTCCGCCGCTGGTGGCGCTGCTCGACGCCGGCGACCCCGCCTCCCACATTGCCGCCCTCTACGCTCTGCTCAATCTCGCCATCGGCAATGACGCGTGAGCTTCTTTCACGATTTTTTTCTTCCGCCTTCTCTGCTGCATATTTTTCAGTGGCATAATTGTCGTTTTGCTTGTTCCTTTACTCTTTCTTTCTTGTCAGTATTTCCTTCTTTTGTTTGTTTCTCAAATTCTCTTCCAGTCTAATTGAGAGAAATGCGGATTAGGGTTCAAATCTATGCAAGTTTTGCTTTAATTTTATGAAAAAGAACACTCTTAAAATTCTGTAGTTCAACACATCAAATTATCAATCAGTAAAATCTGTAATCTTGCCAATGACTTCTTCTTTCTTGTAATGGAAGTATGGAACCTTCTAGTCTATATAATCTACTTTAGTTGGAACTTATCCTTGGGCTATCTCTGATTCTCTGACCTTTGTCCTCTGTTTTAAGCTTCAAACTGCTCATAATTTTTTAGGAGATTCATTAAATTTTTGCCACATGAGGTTGATAGTTTATCTTGCTTGATGTGCTTGTTTTATATTGTAGTTATAAATCAAACTGCTACTGTTGACTCATTGCAGAAACAAAGCCGCAATCGTGAAGGCGGGGGCTGTTCATAAGATGCTAATGTTAATTGAATCTCCAAATGGTTTCCCAGAACCAGCTGTGGTTGAAGCCATTGTTGCCAATTTTCTTGGTCTGAGTGCTCTGGATGCAAACAAACCCATCATCGGTTCCTCGGGTGCGATTTCCTTCTTGTTGAAAATTCTCAAAGATTTGGACGAATCACATGGTTATCAAGCCAGACTGGACTCACTCCGAGCACTGTACAATCTTTCAATCTCACCTTCGAACATTTTCCAAATCCTGGAGACTGATCTGGTGCCGTTTCTCATGAGCAAGTTGGGAGACATGGAAGTAAGCGATAGGATCCTTTCTATTCTTAGCAATATAGTGCCCATCGGAGAAGGGCGAAAGGCGATTCGTGTAGTTCCTGATGCATTTCCGATGCTGGTTGATGTGTTGAACTGGACGGATTCACCAGGGTGCCAAGAGAAGGCATCTTACATTTTAATGGTAATGGCGCACAAGTCATATGCAGATCGACAAGCCATGCTCGAAACAGGAATCGTTTCCTCCTTGCTTGAATTAACGCTTCTAGGCAGCACATTGGCGCAGAAAAGGGCTTCGAGGTTGTTGGAATGCTTGAGGGTTGACAAAGGAAAGCAAGTATCGGAAAGCTTTGGAGACGTGAGTGCAACGTTATCTGCCCCGCAATCATCCGCGTGTTCAAGTCGTCAACTAAGGGACACGTTAGAGGAGGAAAACAGTATGATGAGCGAAGAGAAAAAAGCGGTGAAGCAATTAGTTCAACAGAGCTTGCAGCATAACATGAAGAAAATGGTGAAGAGGGCTAATCTGCCACAGGACTTTGTTCCTTCTGATCATTTCAAGACCCTCACTTCAAGCTCAACATCAAAGAGCTTGCCGTTTTGATAGAGTTTGAGGCGTTTTCGGAGTGCATTGCTCCCTAGTGTAGATGTCTAGTGGATCAAAGGTATGTTTTGTCTTTGTCTGCCTGGAACCATATAGTCATTTGTGCAAACTAGGCATGGCTATATATATATATGTATATTGTAAAGTTTAAGCTAATAATGATATTTCTTAGTTTGTTTTTGTCTTCCCATTTATCTTTGCAATGTTTTATGCCTGCATATAGCTTGTGGATGATTGGACATCCATGGTTTCATGCATAGATGCTTTTGCCTCTGAAATTGCTTGTCAAAACATGCTTTTGTGGTAATTAAACATAAGAAAATTTTCAAAACATTGTCACTTCCATTGGTTTCCTCTGTAGCCCTCCTCGTTTGAGCGGTTGTTTCCATACTGCTGTTGCTGGTGCTTGGTGGGACTTGATCTTTGGTCTCTTGTGATAAATTTTACCATTGTGACCAGTTTAAGTTGCTCATGACGGTTTTAATTGTTTAAAAACCGTATTTAAAGTATGAATGTTCATGACAATTTCTGTGTAGTTAATTTTTCTTTATTTTTTAGTTTTCAAACCTGAATCTATTAAAAATTATCACATTAGTGAGTGATAAGAATAAGAATGTGATTATTTTTGTAAAGACCTTTAGCATGGTTGAATGAGTAAAATAAGATATTTAATAAATTCGATTTCAGTAAACGAAAATTAAAATGATAACAAAAATAATTCTCCATTCGTACCAAGTGGGGGCCACCAATGGCATGCAACAGTGTGGGAAAGCGGAATAATTGGGAATCAAAATTTAGGCCATCGCTATCACTTCTCTTTAAATCATTTTTTAGTTTTCACCTTCCAAAGTACGGATCTCATTATTTTATTATTATTTTTTTATATTTATTAGTTAATTCATATATAATCATTGAATATAATTTTTTTAAAAAAATATAATGTCACGTTAAAAAATGAAATATTAAAAATAAAACCTGGAAGGAAAATATTATTTTTCATCTTAAAAAAAAAGTATTAATAGAACTGAATTTCCTTGAATTAGGTAAATTCGAGAATTAGCTCAAAATACAGGGACTAAATTGTGATTAAGAATCAACAATATGATAAATTCTATAGAACAGGAGTACGAGTTAATACCCAATTTAGTTCTTGATTATAGTGGATTTTCTGAATTTAATCCTAAACGACTTTTTGTACTTAATTAAGTTCTCGACTTTGATGGTTTTATTCAATTGAGTCATCTATTAAGACCCAATTTAATCATTGACTGTACTATAGTAGTTTTATCCAAGTTAGTCTTCGACTCTAGTAGTTTTACCCAATTTAGTTCTCGACTATAAAAATGAAAATAATACGGAGTATGTATTACATGAAGACATAATTTCTTACCCACAAAAGGCGAATTCCCTCGTCCCAAGGGTTTTCACACTTTGGCCTAACAAGATTATGAAGGATTAAATCAGGTGACTCAATAACCTATTAGGTTAAAAATGTAATTTTTTATGACAAATTTCACCCTTGTGACCACTTGAAGTGTCCATATAGGTTAAAGACATGATTTCTAATTATATGAGAGGAAATGGTCTATCCTTCTCCCTAGTGATACCATGATTACTCTTAATTACACTTCCTACTTATTTGAACATATATTCCGTAATATATATATATATATATATATATATATATATATATATATATCAAGGTTGCAAAACTCGGCCGCCTAGCCGCCTAGGCGCTAGGCGGCCCCGAGCCTTGGAGTTTTGGCCAAAACTCGGCCGGCCGCCTAGGCGGCTGCTAGGCGGCCTGGGCAGCCAAACTCGGCCAACTCGGTCGAGTCGACCGATTTTGTCTGATTTTGATCGTTTTTGACCGATTTTGTTTGATTTTGACCGATGTCGTCTTTCATTAATTATTGATTTTAATATTATTATGACATTATGACTTATAAATTATCATTATTTCATTTATTTAGATGTGTTATTTGAGTGAACGTTGAAAACAACCTCATTAAAATTGTCGAACTACAAGTCTGTTACTATTTTTTTTAATTTTTTTGGTGCCCGCCTAGCGCCGCCTAGAATCCGCCTAGGCGCTAGGCGCTGCCCGGCCGCCCGACTAGCGCCTAGCGCCTATTGCAACCATGATATATATATATATAGTCTAACTATCAAGTTAAAATTTTAGTTAAAAAGTAATATATTTTTCAATTCTAATAAACTTATAACACCACAACTATACCATCCTTTATAATATGGACCATGATCCATATTACTATAATTTACACTCTCCTACCAACACGTACGGCTGAACCTTATAATATCTAACTCATCAAGCCTCCTACTCTCATAAGACCATTTCAGTATTTCACCTACCAAACTTAACAATCCAGAATATTCATAACCATCAAGCATAATATTAAAAAGCAAAAAATAGATCTCTTTATTTTTTTAAAACAATAAGGCACAGTTTCAACTTGGAATATAATTTTATGGAATTAAGGCATTGTGAAAATTGTTAATAAATTATTTTCACCTGTGGTTTGGTTTGAGAAAATGACATTAAAAAAAAAAAAGAAAAAAGGCAGGGGATAAGAAGTCAACAGTACTAATTACTACAATGCATCTGGAGAGTATTATTGGCAACAGCAAAGCACACAGCGTCGGTGGAAATCTTTGTCTGCGTAGTAGTTGACTTGTAGGACCACTCGCCTTTACTCATCTCTCAAATCTGAATCCATAAAAAAAAATCGAAATTGTTATAAGAGATCAATGATCAAGTCTTACTAGCGAGCATCAATTTGTAGAAGCAATATGGTCCTATTAGTAGCTTATAGCTTATTAGTAGCTTAAAATAAGCCATAAGCTCCTAAATAAGCTCTGCCAAACAGAGCCTTTGTGGTCTAGTGGCACCAAGGTTACACTTCCATATGTGAGATTGTGGGTTTGCCTCTCAGTGGAGGCGAGAGTCGGGTTCGAGTCTCAGTGGAGGCGAGGCGATATTGACTCTTTGTGCTTCAATAGGTTGGGAATATGAACAGATACTACATTGTAATAGAATCAGTAGCATTTGTACCGTGAGTAAAAATTAACCACTCGTTACAATTTTGTTGGATTTCTGTGTGCAGTGAACAAAAGTCTAACCTTTGTTGATCAATTGGGTCACCATGATTAACTCCTCCACAATCTTGTTCGGTCAAGTGAGCAATTCCAATTTTTTTTTTTTTTTTTTTTTTTTTTTTTTTTTTTTTTGTGACAAGTTGTGTAGCAGTTCCTGATTAGATCTGGCATCAGGCATCGGCCATGCACCACATCACAATAGAAGAAGAATATTAATTCCTGTTTGGATCTGGAATCTAGGGTTTACAAAGTTGAAATTTGAACTACCCCATAAACAAATGTATATGCAACTGTTTTTACCAATTTTTTAAACCCAACTCCATCTGTCAAATTCTTCAATTCAAACTGCATTCACATTGCTATATATTTTCTTTTTGTGCACAAATATTTTTTTAAAAATAATAATAAGGTTTCTCTTCATGGTACGTTCTATTTAATAAAAAAATTGCATCACAAGTTTTTCTTTTTCCTAATAGAATTAAAATGTGTGCTGAGAATATTATGAGAAAATGACACTTTTGTCTTCTAAATTAAATATATGCTTATAGTGTTTTTTTTCTCTGAATTATTAATGTATTCACATTATTCCTTTAATTATTTTAAAAGTAACAATTTTTATCCCTCTTTGTTAAATAGACGTTTAGATTGTTAAAAATGAGGACATATATATATATATATATATATATATATATATATATATATATATATATATATATATACATATCGAAGGATTCAGGTGTGGGTATAACTTCCCGTGCAGTTAGATCTGAGCCGTTGATCAAATTTAGATCAACGGCTCAAATCAATGAAAATTTAAAAAAGAAAAAAAAACGTGTCTGGAAGAAAGAAGCATAAGCTAAAAATGCACCTTAAGTGATAGAAACACGTACCTTAAGTATTAGATCTTAAGCACAAACTCACGCACATTAAGTACAAAACCCACACACATTAAGCACAACCTCACGCACATTAAGCACAAAACTCACGCACTTTAAATATTAACTCACAGACTTTAATTTCAACAACTACGGACATTAAGCACAAACTCACGCACATTAAGTACAAAACCCATGCACATTAAACACAACCTCACGCACATTAAGCACAAAACCCACGCACTTTAATTATAACTCACAGACTTTAAGTTTTAACAACTACTCACATTAAGCACAACCCTACGCACATTAAGCACAAACCTCATGCACCTTATGCACAAACCTCACACATCTTATATACAAAACTCACGCATATTAATCACAGATCTGCTCACCTTAATTTTGACCTAAATGCAAAAATTACAAATTTTCCACCACATTTTGTTTTAAATTTTGATAATCCTGAACGTTGATTTAAGCGAGATGAATGGCCCAGATTAAACCGCACAACCGCACCTGGGCACCTTAACCGCTCCAGAACCTAATATATATATATATATATATATATATATATATATATATATATATAACTTAGACCATTTATGGTCCATGGAACTAACTTGCAAGTTGCAAAACCTTGGAAAAAAAAGTCTCTAGGATAACCATAATAATGCATCTTGATCCCACGCCCCGATCCTCCCATGCATGCATTGACATTTGTCACGTTTTTAGGTGAAGATATTCTTTTATTTATTTTGGAGCGAGGATGATTAAAATTATGAAATCATGACTAAGTGGGCACAAAGTTGAATGGTTAGAATATGACTCTTGTACACATAAAGATTATGAACTTGATTATATCAATTGTCTCTCAATCGAGCTTGTTACAAGATCTCTTTGATTTTATTTGTCACCCACAAATAATAAAGAATCATAAATTTGTTATTAATTGTATCAAACATCTATCACACTTCTAAAATCAAAAATTAAATATTTACCAATATATTGACTATACATTATTCTAAACTCAAAAAATTTACTCCTAATGAATGATGAATCAACAATATGTGTTTTACGGGAATGGAGTTTGCTTCCCTCTAAACAAGATTATATTTCAATTTTAAATATTACAAATGAAGTCATAACTGTTGGGAATATAATGTTCTCCACAAGGGGTCACAACTAACATACTAACATATATCGTAAAATATACACAAATAAATTTCCTAAGCAATGTATAACACTATAATGATGATTTTAAAACCCTAAAAGAATATTAAAAAACTTCAAGAAATATTAAATAATTTTCTCGAGACATAAATAAATTTTCTACTTAAAGAGAAAAAAAAAAAAAAACTAAGCCATCAAAACTGAGATCTTGAATCTAGGGTTTCCTAAGTAGACACTAGAAAGCCAGCGAATAAATGAGTTTTCAAAAAAATTTTATTAAGCCATCAAACAGCAAACAAGTAAAGTAACATACTAATCCTATATAGTAAAATACACAAATAAAATTTTCTGAGGCAATTATCCACGGATAGTCAAAGCAGAGAGGTGGTCGCCGGTCGGGGTTGAGAAGGGGAGAGGCGATCAGTGAGAAGTGGAGAGGCGGTCGTCTGGTGGGTTTGGTCTGGGTAAAGTACCAGGCCCAGATTTTGGGCTGTGCAAGATGGGTTACCGCACAGGACCCCAAATTTTAGAAGCTCAATATTTTATTTTTACCTAGTTAGTTTAGAAATAAAAATTAAAAGTTTTTAATTAAACTTAAAAGGTTTTATAAAGAAATTGTAGGAACATGTAATTATTGTATTTTAACTTTGAGGTCTAAGGTTCAAAACTTGTGTACACTATTATAGTATTATTATTATTCCATAATATGTCTATTTTTACCTGTTCGTTGCACGGAAAAAATTTGTTATAATCTTTAAATTATGTGTGCGTGCGATGCACGAATAATTTTTTTGTTATATATTTAGATAATAAAATTACGGTATTAATTTTATAGATTTTAATTTTGATAGAGCCTTATTTATTTATTCGAATAGATTCACAAAAATCTAAAAACTGGCCCTGTAAAGTAGAGAGGGAGGCTCTGTAAAGTAGAGAGGGAGAGGGAGAGGGAGGTCTGAGGAGACTGGAGAGAGCATGGGCTATATATAAGACTGCACGGTCAATTCAAGTTCTCAACTTAAAATTTTTTTATTTAAAAAAAAAAAAAATAGCGTAGATGTGAGAGGATCAATCTACATTAATT